GACGAATCTGTCTCTTCCAATAACATAATAATAAAGGAAGAGTGATGGCGTTTATAATCAATCAATCAATCAATGTGGTTCGGACTTCAAATTCGATAAAATTAGAACCGTTGTTCGTAGAACCGGGTTTAGGACTACTGAGACCCGTGCTAATCCTGATTCAATTATGTTAGAATCAATTCGAAACGATCCCTAATCCTCCATCTCCTGACACGATTGACGGAGTCTCACCTCCATGCTGATATAAATTAATGATCCGTTCAAAGCAACGACAATCTAACTTTTGTCCATCACCATTGATTTCGATTGTCAAACGGCTGCAGCATCTCTATCCCTCTCATGAACGGTTCACCTAACCAAAATGGTAGACCGAGCTCATGGTCAAGGTCAAAATACATGTGTATCTTCCTATTAAATGGTTGTACCATTGCTCGGATAAGCAAAATACTTTGCCTCCAATGTTTGAGGTGCAGAGTTTGACCAGCCGCCACGCCCATCTCCATTCGGAGCAGTGTATATATGTGGCAGTTCACCCCAAGCCACTCTTCTCATCCCTCACCCAAAAGCTCCTACTAGCACAACAGCAGTGGGAAGATCTAGCCATCTCTCTCTTCTCTGTATCTGAGAGACATACATACGTAGATCATTTGGGCAGCCATGGCGTCTTTGATGCAGACATTAGTCACGCTCTCTCTGCTCTCGCTGTTTGTCTGCTATGTCCATGGGCAGTTGTCTTCTACATTCTATGCTGGCACATGCCCCAACCTACAGCAGATCGTGCGCTCCACCATGGCGCAGGCCGTCAACAAGGAGCCACGCATGGCTGCCTCCATCCTCCGGCTTTTCTTCCACGACTGTTTCGTTAATGTGCGATGCTGGAACGCCTATGGTATCTTTTGTCCCCTGTAGGCCATCGGAACTGACAGTCTTTGATCTCGGTTGCAGGGCTGCGATGCGTCGATACTTCTGGATGATACTGCCGCATTCACCGGCGAGAAGAATGCCTCCCCCAATAGGAACTCCGCCCGCGGCTACGAGGTTATCGACGCCATCAAATCCAACGTCGAAGCTGCCTGCCGAGCAACGGTATCGTGCGCCGACATCCTCGCGCTGGCAGCACGCGATGGCGTGGCCTTGGTAAGCGTCACTGTTCACGAACCTCGGCTACCGCACTCCTCTTTAGTTTCCGCTCGAGAACGACGAAGTTTAACGTCGTCTTGTTCAACTGTAGCTTGGTGGACCGACATGGGCGGTTCAGCTGGGCCGTCGCGATGCCAGGACCGCAAGCCAAAGCGACGCTAACAGCAACCTCCCCGGGCCCTCCTCCGGCCTCTCCACTCTCATATCTTCGTTCGCCGCCAAGGGCCTCAACGCACGCGACATGACCGCCCTCTCCGGTGCCCACACCATCGGCCAAGCGCAGTGCGGAAACTTCCGCTCCCACATCTACAACGACGCCAACGTCAACTCGAGCTTCGCTGCGCTCCGCAAACGGAACTGCCCGTCCTCTGGCGGCGACGGCAACCTGGCGCCGCTTGACCTCGAGACACCGAACCGGTTCGACAACGGCTACTACCGGGACCTGGTGGCCAAGAAGGGACTGCTCCACTCGGACCAGGAGCTGTTCAACGGCGGCTCTCAGGACTCGCTGGTGAGGCAATACAGCGTCAACAATGCGGCGTTCTCACGGGATTTTGCGGCGGCCATGGTGAAAATGGGAGCCATCAGCCCGCTGACTGGAAACAGGGGAGAGATCAGATTGAACTGCAGGAAGGCGAACTGATCTGCGAGTGATTCGTCCGTCGATCAACAATTCGTACATCGTGTGTTATTATTCCTTTCATTTACCCTGGTAAATTAACAGGGGGGGTTTGCTTTCTTCATTCCATTTATTTGTATGCCAAATCAAGGTAATAATATCAAGAAATTATTGCGCCAAAGAGCTTTCTTTAGATGATTTCTGCTGTGAGAAATGTCAGTGATGACCCGATAGCTCAATCTGATTCGAACCCGAACGTCACGAATACTCTATCAGATCCTACATGATTTCTCTGATATTGATAACCAAACATAGTTAAGATTCTCAGTAAACAGTAATTAATCTCGATTGCTTGAGAAATAGTCAACAGGACTTTGC